AATATGCTCAAACCCCAACCTCAGCACTGTCTCTATTAAATCGGAATGGTATTTCCGTTTCCCATAACGTCTGGTTCATTGATGTTTCATTTTGTTTCCTTTCTGGTCCCTTTTGGTCAAAGACATCTTGCAGTCAAGGTGGTAGGTGGACAATCTATTCTCAGACCTTCATCTAAGCCCCTCCCTCTGGAACATTTGGTAATAATTCAACTTCCAACTGTCCCTCCAAGCGATAAAGCAACTGAAACTAGGTATTCAATGGAATTGAAAAAAAGGGCAGCATGTTGAAACAGAAACAAGGCTATGGTGTTGGAGTGAGATTTCTAATCAATTGCCAATTACTGACAAATTATGGACCTTCTGTTGCTGTACTTTTGCAACCCCCTTCATAAATTACGTTAAAACATGAATGTTATTTCACCAAGAACAATTATAATTGATACAGCAAAAAACCTTTCATCTATTATAATAAAAAAGACAGTAGGTTCTGCCCACTACCAGTTGGACATCTGAATTGATTGCATTCTCCTCCCCTACTTCAGCTCTTCTCATCTTGCTGCTTTACTGAAACATACTGTCCTTTCAAATGCAGAAAGAGGCTCATTTTAAGAGAGTAAAGAGAGAATTTTTTAATATGCCCAATTAATCATCCAGCCCAAGCCTTACTGAGATAAGAGAGAAAGACCTATTTTAAAATAGGGCTGTGTTACATTGAAAATCTATGAGAAATGACAGTAGTCAGAAAAAGTGCGAGATCTAGCAATACATATGAAACAGAATTCTATATTCAGGTTAGCAAAGGTCAAAAGCTAGAAGTTTTTAAAATGAAAGTGCATCTGATCCTTCCTACCCGTGAGAGACCTGATCAAGCATGTAGCTTTCTTCTTTGGAACTGCACAGAAAAAAAAATGTAAATATTCTTTACAGAAGTAGAGATGAAAATTAGGTTCCAACCCTCAGATTATCTTTTTTCCTTCCACCAACACAATTTTACAGAAATATTACATTCTGCAAATCAAATGATTCCAGGACCAGATGGTTATGCATGTATTGCAGCACAGAACAGTAGGAGACATGTGTGCACCTGAGATCTTCCACATGGTGTATTCTTCATGCCAGGAGTCTATTCACCAGAGGTAGGAAAATCAGAGAGTCAGTCATCCCAGACCCTCTTGTACATCTCCTTACAGCTGGCCATCAAGCAACAATAGCACATGCCTGTTGCAAGTATGCAAGCGTGGACACCCATCTAGTGAATCTCATGGCAGGAGGATATTCCATTGAGAAAAAAGGCAATGGAGAACCAATGAAACAGATGAACAAACAATGAATTCAATATCAATCATCACAAAACATTTTACATTCCTGAAGAATCAGACTGAAAAAGAGAAAGTTCTGTTCTTCTGGAATGCTTTGTAGAATCATACAAAAATCCTCTTATTATACATTAGACTGGTTACTTAGTTCTGTATCATCCACGCCAGAAGTTCCATTTTACTACATATCATAGTTCAAACTTTAGTAAAGATAAGCATTTCTTCACTGGGTCCTCCTAGCTTCAGAGGTTATGGGGAAAGGGCAGGAAAGTGGATGTGAGGAGTGTCAAATCAGCCAAGATCTTAATGAATAGTGGAGCAGGCGTGAGAGGATGAGCTGCCTATCTCTGAACCTATTTCTAATGGCCTAGGCTTTTATAACAAACTCTGCTTGTATGATATCAAGAGATAGTAGGAACTGCAGATGCTGGAGAATCTGAGATAACAAGGTTTAGAGCTGGATGAAAACAGCAGGCCAAGCAGCATCAGAGGAGCAGGAAAGCTGACGTGAAGGGTCTAGGCCCAAAATGTCAGCTTTCCTGCTTCTCTGATGCTGCTTGGCCTGCTGTGTTCATCCAGCTCTAAACCTTGTTATCTATATATGATATCAAGCTCTTATTTCAGTCTTTTAATTGTTATGCAGACATTTTCTTTATCAAAGGATATTTAAAGCTCCCCACTGCCCTACATGGCGCAGTTTCCATGTCTCTGCAGCAGTATTTGACTGGTATCTTGAAGCTAGGCTTCAGTATAAATGCAGTACCAAAATACAACACTTTAATAATTTGTCATAGAGCAGATTTAAATTTCCAGCTCTGTAATTTCAGTGACAGTGCAAAAAATTAAAACTACGGCATGAATTTTACCAGAAATTGGCTGAATGTCAGTTTTATTGAGTTTCATGAAGAGTATCTCTTTGTGAGGCCTAGTGGGTTTTCTTGTGCTATCGTCACAAACTCACACCTATGGTGTCCTTCTTGTCTGATGCCAGCCTGAACCTCCCAGTTTACTCACCACAGTAGCCTGACACCCCTGTCACTGGTCTTTGACCCCCAGCTACATATCGTGTCAATAGCTGGCAGCCTGGTCTTGTCCTCGTGTATGGTAAGTGGATTAGAATTGTGCTGTGAGGCTGCAGTGTGTCAAATATGAGATCTGTGGACATAGGGTTTGTGTGGCCGCAGCCTATGGAGCACTCCCTGAAATGTTGGCACCAGGTGTCTGAGATGAAGGTCTGGAGGAGAAAGCGGTGAGCTGGAGTTGCCAGGTATCTGCTGTGACTTTCATATCAGGAAGTCTCAGCATCTAGTTTCTAGCCAGCAGTTGACAGAATGCATTTTAATGAAGTGAAATTAGATAATAATGAGGTTGATAATAAGTGATAATTCATTTTGATAAGCCTCTCACTGCACACTAGAAGAACCTCATTGAAGTCTAGCACTTGAGTGGAAAACGTGACTACTTGGTCTCATGTCGAGAAGGGCCTCACTTGACAGCTAATCTGTTCTACCAAAGTTTCTCACCATCGCCTGTAACGTTTAGGGGCTGCGAATATTTTGCCCCATATGTCAACATCAGAAACACATCCTAAATGGTGCAATAACAACATGCAACAGCACCAAAAATCCTTTCTTAATCACTCCTGGGCTGTTAGTCAATCTAAGAATTAATAACCTTTCAAAGTACATAAAAATATAAGTAGAAGTAAAATAATCTGACTTCAAAGTTAGTGAAACAACATGAATGATAAATTGGTTTTAGAATCAACATGTTAATGGGTCATGCCCAAAGACAGAAAATGCTGGAGATCCATTTACAACTGTAAAAACAAAATACAGGTTAATCCTAGGCAACAGACTAACTTCAGTTTTCTTATTTCAGATGCTAGCTCACCTGCATATTGACATTTTTCTCAACCTTTCTGCTTTTACTTCTCGGACATCTGTCATTCAGTGAATCAAAAGGAGGACCAGGGACAGGATGATGGTTAGGAACAGGCTGGGAGCAAGCCACTTGTTCACCTTCTCACTCAAGGAATAGTTTGCAAAGTGGAGTGACAAGGAAGAGGAATTTCTAATTGAAGTGGCATAGTGGTAATATCACTGCACTAATAATCTAGAATCCTAGCCTCTAATGTTCTGAGGATAAGGGTACAAATTTCATCACAGTAGATGGTGAAGTTTGAATTCAACCAAAATCTGGAATTAAAAGCTAACTTAATGGTGATCAAAATACCTAATGTTGTCATAAAAACTCAACTGGTTCATTAGTGTCCATTAGGGAGGGAAATCTACTGTCCCTACCTGGTCTGGCCTGCATGTGGCTTCAAATCGACAGCAATGTGATTGAATCTTAACTGACACCTGAAATCGCCAAGCAAACCATACCAATTCAGGGAAATTAGGGATGGGCATTTAAATACTGACAGATATTCCATGAACGAATAAAAAAAGGATAATAAGAAATAGCAATGAGATCTACATCTCAACTTTTTTTCTTGGGAGGGATTCAACTACATTGGAATTTATTTCTGGTCCTGAGATGGGGGTTTCATCTAAAATGCAGAACTGATATAATAGGATTGGGAGAATACAAGGGTAGTGACATTGGTGGCATCTTGTGCTGTACCATAGAGCAGAAATCAAGGTGGATGGTAAAAACTAACTGGGAGAAAGGCCAAACCAAGATTTCTGATGGTGGGATGAAAATATGCAATGAGGTTCTCTGAACTTTAAAGGTCAGTGCAGCTTCTTGATGCTCATTAAAAGGCCAACTTGCCAGAGTTAAGTTTCGCTTCCCAATTAATTTCTTCACAACATAGCAATACATGCCTTCACAATCATGACTGCACAGAATTGGCATGCAGCAGGCTAGGTGATTTGTGGCGATAAAGCAGAGTTAACGTTTCAGAACAGAAGGGTCACTAGACTCGAGATGCTAACTCTGCTTTCTTTCCACAGATGTTGCCAGACCTACTGAGTTTCTACAGCAATTTATGTTTTGGTTTGAAGTGAAGTGATCATCTTCCTGGACTCTGGAGTGAATAGCCACTGCTTTGATCTTAGCCATGTATGATTAAGATTGTTCAGGGTTAGGACCTTCAATACTGTAAAAGTAACACTGATGGCACTGACCTCCTGCCCAATCTTCCATTATATGTGTCATCACCCTCGTGATTGCACATGAGGTAACAACTGAGTAGTAGCATGAGAAAAAAAAACCCTCCCAACAGGAAGAGAAACACACTTTCACATTGACCAGTCAAGTTGCACACTGGAATGGAAGATTTTGCCCAACATTTCAGTACACATTAAAACTTTTCCATTAAAATGTTCAACTCAGTGCTCTTTACAGTAAGCTTTCTCAGCCATATCACAACTGAAATTGTTACTTCTATAGGTCCCATATGCACAGGGAGAGTTTACTTACTGAACAGAAAGAAGTCAAAAAGAGGACAGACCTTTCGTAGATATATCACAGCTTCCAAAAGCAAATAAGTAAATAAGCAAATAAGCATAAGTAAACGACAGACAGAAAGCTACACACTGCAACAGGAAGTCAGGCTGCTCTCTGCACAAAGGATCAATGTAATTCAGAGTCTGAAAGGAATAAGGACAGGATATAGGGAGGAGATGAGCAGAAACCAAAATAATATTTGATAAATTTCATGCTTCTCATATTTACCAGTCCAACCCGTTACACAGTGACAGAATCCAGTGATTGGGTCACAACTACTTGCATGACAGCAGTCACAATGTCTGCTACAGTTCAGACCATATGTTCCATCCTAGAAAGCAAAAGAAAAGAATGGTTCTAAATGCACAATTCCTGCAGTTCAATATTTGTTGATACATCTTACAGATGGTTAGATTATTTATACCCTGAAACAGACTGCTAATGCCCATTTTGATTGTATTCTCAGCAATAGCACAATCATTTTCTATTGTATTAAATTAATCTGTAAACAGAAATACACTATTTTCTAAAAAAAAAGTAAATTAACTTTGAACATTGTTTTCCAGAAGATGCCTGATAAGCCAAAGAAAACACTCACCTGCTCTGCTGGCTGTGGGGAACAGGAGGTGCCTGGATAAGGTATGTAGAACATAGAACAGCACAGGAACAAGCCCATTGCCAATCATGATGCCATTTTAAACTAATCCCATCTGCCTGCAGATGGAATATCCCTCTATTCCCTACCTGTTCATGTGTCTGTCTGAAGGCCTCTTAATTGTTGCTATCACATCTGCGTCTACCACCTCCCTTGGCAGTACATTCCAGGCACCTGCCATCCTCTGTGTAAAAAGCTGGCCTTGCACATCTCCTTTAAACTTTCCCCCTTCCATCTTAAATGTATGTTCCCTTGTATTTGACATTGCCACCCTGGAAAAAAGATTTGGACTATATACACCCTACTTTGGCCTCGTGTAAATTTATATACTTCTTTAGGTTGCCCCTCAGCCTCTGACTCTCTAGTGAAAACAATCCAAGTTTGTTCAACCGCTGTTTGTAGCTAATATACTTCAATCCAGGCAACATCTTGGTAAAACCTCTTTTGCACCCTCACCACAGCTGCCACATCCTTACTATAGTGTGAGGATCAGAACTGCACATAATATTCCAAATGTTGTCTAACCAAAATTTTACACAGCTGCAATATGACTTGCCAACTTTTATACTCAGTGCCACAAAAGATGAAGGCAAGCATGCCATATGCTTTCTTTACCACCTTATTCACTTGTTTTGGACATTTTCAGGGAACTGTGGAGTTGCACTCCATGGCCCCTTTGTAGCTGGACTTGGGGGTTTTAGGTGCACATCTATTAGGATGATTTCTCAAACTCAGGTGGGAAAGGACCAAGTGGAAATGTTTTGGAAAAAAGTTAAGTCATATGGTAAATCATATTTAAGATGCTGTCTTGTGTACATGCTAGCAATGAGTTCCATAGTTACATTGTTATAGGTATAGGGAGATTATTTGGGAAGTGGTTTACAGCTGAAGGAAAAATGGTGAAAATAAAATAACTTGCAAGAGAAGATAAGAAAACAGAATACAACAACAGCATTTACCGGACATGGCTGGTCACAATCTTTTCCATGCCAGCCTGGGGAACATGTGCAGGAGCCATCCTCTGGATTACAAGCTGCTCCATTGACACAGGTACAGCTATTGTTGCAGTAAAGCCCCCATGTAGCACTGGAACAAGGGATTGAGCAGTCCACTCCCTGCCAACCTAAAACACAAACCATATATTTGAAGATTCTTTCAGCTAGCTAGAAACACTTAATCCTATTAACTGACATTTCAAGTTGATAACCAGCAAAGGGAAGACATTTCTAAAGTTAACAATTTTCTTGTTGGAGTTAACGCTTTATCAGTGTGCTCAACTCATGCATTTTTTAATATACATGAAATGTTTTGCATTGAGGATATTGTAAAACAAGCATAAACTTTGTTTTATTCATGAATAAAACAATCTCAACTTCAAAATGGGGGAAACACAGAAGTTCTGGATACAGGACAATTAACAGAATTCAGGAATTATTATAGAGACTTCCAAAGATGGGGAAAAATATGAAAATTTAGAGATTTGCCTCCCAGTCGTCACCTCAATGGTTTTTTATAAAAACTTTCAAAACATTGCTTCTAACCTAACTTAATCCTTTTGTCACTGAAACCATTATCGTAGTTTTGTCAGATTAAGAATCAACAGGAGAGATTTCTTCCTTCAGTCTATTTAGCAACTGTAATAAGGATTTGGCACTGACGATCTATCAAGTAAGATCCCCACACTGCCCATAATTTCCCGAGGTTTTCTCACGTACTGTCACGAAATCAATGCCTGAAATGTGCACATCTCAGTTTTCTCATTTCAATGGGAGGTGTTCCCAGACTCATTCAGTTGCTTATGATTGTTTATGTACTTCAGTGGTGGGGTGCCTGAAGAAGCCTTATTGAAAGGGTCTATACCAGGACCACTAGCCCAGAAGGATGGCAGAGTATTCTGAGGTTAGCAGAAAAGTGTGCACATGTTCCTTGTTTGTTGGTCAGCTAGAAAGCAACGATAAAAATATATTCTGAGATAACAAGGTGTAGAGCTGGATGAACACAGCAGGCCAAGCAGCATCAGAGGAGCAGGAAGGCTGACGTTTTGGGCCTCTGCATCTGCAGTTCCTACTATCTCCAAAAATATATTCTGTTCTGTAATATGCTGCTCACTGCCTTCCCACGTTTCACCCATCATAACTTCCAACTAATTGAAAATGTCAGCTGTATCTTGTCCTGAGCTACCTTCCATTCGTGCACATTTGTATCTTTGCTAAACTAAATTGCTTTATCTTCTGCCAATGCACTGGCAGAGCAAATTGGCACTGTTGATGTCACTGATATACAGCTACAGCCTGGACCTGTGCTGATTGACCATGTGTATGTGATGCCACTGGTGACTAAGGAGCTCTTGCCATCCTTCCTCCATTCACAGACATACCTGGAGCCCAGCTCTCTTGCTTGCCACTCCGTTTCACTCGGCATTACTGCCCCCGTTTGGTGCCCCTCTCACTTCACTATTGGTTGCTCTGCTCCCATCCTGTTGTGTCTCTCTCCAACTCGTCATCTTGTTGCCCTTCTCCCAGAGATGGTGAACAGTGGGGCTGTACAACGGTGAGCAGGAGGGAGCCAGTGAGGGTTCAGGAGTGGTGCAGTGAGTAAAACACAACTGCAGGATTTGAACTCACATAAAACATTTGAAAAACAAAACCTAAATTTTTATCTCCTACTCTTTGATGCAGGAATCTCACGGCAGCTTCACTAGCAGTGATGTCATTGACACTCCAACTGTATGGCAGTGAGTGTGCCTTTGCAGTTGCAGTGACAATAAAAGCAGCCAAACGAAATTGGTTGCCAGTTCCCAAACATTAAAAATTAAAATTTTTTTGCTCCTCCCATTTCATTGGCCCTTCATCCCACTATTGTGGCAAAGTAAATAACCATCTTGACATATCCTCTGGCAGCTCCAACTAAACCATTCTTCTTCCTTTGCTTTTAAAAAGGATGATCACCGAGAATGTTATAAAATCATGAGTGGCATCGATAGGGTGAATATTCAAGGCTCTTCCCCAGGGTAGGGAAGTCCAAAACTGGAGGGCATAGGTTTAAGGTGAGAGGGGAAAGATTTAAAAGCGGAATAAGGAGCAGCTTTTTCAGGCAGAGAGTGCTGCATGAACTGCCAGAGGAAGTGGTGGAGGCTGGTACAATTGCAACATTTTTTGGCATCTGGATGGGTATATGAATGGGAAAGATTTAGAAGGACATGGGCCAAATGCGGCTAGATTAATTTAGGATATCTGGTTGGTATGGACGAGTTGAACCGAAGGATCTATTTCTGTGCTGTATATCTCGCTGACTATTCTGCTACTCCAAAGCTTGCCCTTCCTTCCCTATTTTGTTCCAATCATTTCCTCAAACATCTCAGAGAACGGTGGGCATTTTCTATATTAGCAGCAATATACATATACAAGCTCTTGATATAGTTGAGATGACTGTATAATTCTGAGGAAGGGTCACCGGACCCGAAACGTTAACTCTGTTTTCTCCTTCACAGATGCTGCCAGACCTGCTCAGCTTTTCCACCAACTTTGTTTATGTTCCTGATTTACAGCATCCGCAGTTCTTCTGGTTTTTATGACTATATAATTCTTTTTCTGATGGCTTACAGTCATTTCACTTTACATAAAGAATCTTGTAACAGCAACAATAATCTCAGCTCACAGTTATATACTAAAGAACACAAATAGCTATTTGTTCAATATTCCTCTTGTTTTAAGCACAAGGAAAATAGTTCCATCCCGGTGTGGTATTAACATCCCTCACCTTGTTAAGAACAGAATCTAAACCAAATTGTGGCTAAAAGTATCAAAAAACAAGTTAAGGTCACAATAGACTAGATGTCTCTACCTGCTTTACAAATACAGGAGCCATGAATAGGAGAACAAGTACCACCATGTTTGCATCGACAAGTAGATGAACAGTTGGCTCCATATTTACCAGGAAGGCATGGCAAGGAGCAATCTTCTCCCTGGAAAACAAGAAAGAAAGTGCATATCACTAGATCTTAGCCTGCAGATTATATGCTTAAAAAGATGAATTGCAAGATGACAAAAGGCTAGAGTTGATCTTGTTACAATGATAATAGCACTGTTAACTAAATCACAGCAATCAAACTTTATCAATTAGTTTACAACAGACTGAGACATGATTAAAAGAAAACCCTAGTAGTGGTGGACTTTAGCGACCAAAGCCCAAAGTATCCATTCCACCACATCATGCTCACTGCTACGATGTCTCAAATTCTATGCACATGTAGTCAAGTTAGTTGGTACATGTATTCTTAAATAATGAAGGACTGATATACAGATAATCTAAAATTACAAGTCCTGATGAAAAATGCATAAATCAATTATAAACATATGAAGGAGAGCCACATCAGGTGACAAATGTGACATTGTCCTTGCACTTCTACTATCACAGGTCTAACCTAAAGGAGCATGAGCCTAACTAGATTAGAAGTATAGAGTTCAGTTTCTAGCATCCGCAGCATTTTGCTTTTGGATTTGGGTAGGTTGTCTAAATGTATTTATGTTTACTTTACTGTATATATTTCCAGTTAATTCCTGACTGGTTCCTGATGATGTCAGTCACTTTGAAAGGGCAGAAATAGATGTCATTGTTCCCCAGGTAGTCAGGAATCAGTGCTTCATTAGAATTCACATTTGGCCATATCACCAAGAGTTAAACCTGGTCATTGTGTTGAATTTATATAGCCTAGGTTGTCTCATAAGAAATCATTATAAAGTTAATCAAGGAAATTACCATTAGGTAAGAAAGCAACAGTGTAACATACACTTGTAAAATAGAAGTCACAAGAATTACAAAAAAAACTAGAACAGAACTTAATTCCAACATAATGCATTGTGCTTGATAAATATATTAAAATAAAATCATTTTTTAAAGCATTTTAAGTTAAAGTGCTAAGACAATTTAGGAAAAGTTGTGTATTAACAAAATGAAAGCTGTTTTGTGGCAGTGTCCCCCCGCAGTGATAGTGATGGGCTGCCTTCTTGAACCACTACAATCCGTTTGTTGTTGATACACCCATAATGCAATTAGGGAGGGAGTTTCAGGATTCTGACCGAGGCACACTGAAGGAACAGTGATGTACGTTCAATTCAGGACGGTGAGCAGCTTGAAGGGGCACTTGCAAGGGTCCGTGTCAGTGTCATTTTTTGCACACCACTCTAACCACTGCTACAACTCCTTCTCTCTTGTCTAGCAGGTATCACTAGCAGATCCATTACCGCTGTGATGAAATGTTCAGATCTCCCATAAGCCACCACCTTGATCTCTGAGGATGAGAGTGCTGAGGCTTCAGAGGAAGCATTAGCAAGGCTTGCTCAGATATTGACTCTTGGGTGGGAATATCAGGCAGAGAAAGTGTGGGACCACAATCTGGTGAGCACTTCACTGTGATAACTCCGCAGCTGATCAAGGAAGAAACTCCCCTGGCCATTGGCACTCGGAGGACTGCCAGAGTCCAGCTACCTGCTCAGCCTCATGGAGGCATGAATCCAACAGTCATGGACTTCAACCACATGCACAGAGAACAACAAGAGCAGTAGACAGTTATGTGGGACAGAATTACACTGAACTTGCAGTGATGACAATGCTATGTCAAATATGCAAACTGTATGTGCAAACAAATCTGCACCCTCCTTTCTCTTAAAAGCAACAAACCGTAGAGGCTTGAAAGTCGACGCGAAACTGCTGGAAAACTCAGCATGTCTGGCAACATCCATGGAGAGAGAAACAGAAGGGATGATTTTCCAATATTTTTCTTATGAGTGTGGAGTGACTATGACAAGTAGTAACTAACAGGTCACCCCAACTGACGAGTTAATTCATTGCATCAGCTGCTAACCAGCTCATCAAGCACTGGCAGGCCAGTGAGGCAAGTACCTTGCCCTATCACAGGCCTTCACACTGGTACCTGTATTGCCAGAAAAGGCCAGCCAGAGGGTGGCACCTTCTGGGTCCTAAAGTTCACAGTTCAGACATCCTACTCAAGGAATGAAGCAGTGAAAAGTAAGTCTTTTAACTTTTTCTCATGTGATGGGGATTAGGAGGAAAGGGATGAGAGGCAAAAGCCGAGGCATTGACTTTCAGAGGCCACTCTCTTGCCTGCTGTCTATGCCTCATCAATTGCCCCCAGATTGGGGTATTTGGAGGCCCCCTGTAATTTGACAGACAGGTCACTATTGTTTGCCAGTCAGGAAGCTAGCCAGCTATCTCATATGCCAGGGAGAAAGTGATTGGAAAGTAACAAGTTGAGTTCATTACAAAGTCATGAATTGGCCATTTGAGGACCTTAATTGCTGGCGAGTTAAGAAAATCCCCCAAGAACCTGTTCGTCCAACAACTTAATCGCAGAGGTGCGAGAGGTCAGGAGTTTCCCTCCAGGGCAAACTCACTCAACTGTTTCCCTTCGCACTACCTCTCAGGACGAAAAGGTCTGCCCAGAGTGAATAGTTCATGTCATAGAGTGATACAGCATGGAAACAGACCCTTCGGTCCAACTTGTCCATTCCGACCAAGTTTCCCAAACTAAACTAGTCCCACTTGCCTGCACTTGGACCATATCGCTCTAACCTTTCCCTGTTCATATACCTGTCCAAATGTCTTTCAACTGTTTTAACTGTACCTGTATCCACCACTTCCTCTGGCAGTTCATTTTTTGTGAAAAAAAGTTGCCCCGGAGGTCCCTTTTAAATCTTTCTCCTCTCGCTGTAAAAATATGCCCCTTAGTTTTGAACTCACCCAACCTAGGGAAAAGATCTTTGCTATTCACCTTATCTATGCACCTAATGATTTTATAAACCTCTACAAGATCTCCCCTCAACCTCCTATGCTCTAGTGAAAAAAGTCCCAGCCTTCCAGCCTCTCATAGAGTCATACAGCATGGAAACAGACCCTTCAGTCCAAATAGTCCACAACAAACGTGTTCCCAAACGAAACTAGTCCAACTTGCCTGTGTTTGGCCCATTTCCCTCCAAACCTTTCCTATCTATGTGTTTCTATGTGTGTTTATTCATGAACTTATCCAAATTTCTTTTAAATGTTGTAATCATAACTGCAACCACGACTTTCTCTGGAGTTCTTCCACATGTGAACCATTCGCTGTATAAAACAGTTGCCCCCATTTCCTTTTTAAATCGTTCTCCTCTCACCTTAAAAATATGCCCCGGTTTTAAATTCCTCCACCTAGGGAAAAAACCCTTGCTGTTCACCTTATCTATGTCCCTCATGATTTTATAAACCTTTATAAGATCAAATCAGAAATCACACAACACGGGTTACAGTCCAACAGGTTTATGTGAAAACACAAGCTTTTGGAGTCTTACTCCTTCTTCAGGTGTTATTGAGAGAGGTAGTATCAGACACAGAATTTATAAGGAAAAGATCAAAGGGTCAGAGATAGTAGGAACTGCAGATGCTGGAGAATCTGAGATAACAAGGTGTAGAGCTGGATGAACATAGCAGGCCAAGCAGCATCAGAGGAGCAGGAAAGCTGACGTTTCAGGCCTGAAGAAGGGTCTAGGCCCAAAACGTCAGCTTTCCTGCTCCTC